TTAGCGCACACCAAGTGTTTGATATATGTTTTGATGCTCCAGAGTCCACAGGCATATCGTTCATGATATTGCATGCCATTGTAAAATGAAAACGTTCATTATTGCATGACTCACGTCAATGCATATTAATTTTAGATATCATGTATAATTAAAAGGGTTTTACTGTATCGATTGAGTCATTTTTTTTTATGTGACAATTACATTGTCACGTAATTTTACTTATCCATCAAGTTATAACGTGCAAAGTACTAACACCAAGTGACAGTGGAGCCATCTCACTCCAAGATTGGCCTCAAAGGTGCATTTTAAACCAGATGCAGAGTCTTCACTATGCGCACACAGATATATATGGTATAATAGGTATCTCTGCAAACATTGTCATAGGTTTTTGTAGAGCAGGTAATATATTTTTGCAATTCTGCAGTTTAATTTCTTGTCAATAAAATGGCAATTGCTTTTAAACTCACTGTTAAATTAAGGGCAGTGTTATCACACACCCTTTTTTCTTCGCTAATACACTTTATTTTTACATGTAAGGGAAAAAAACACCAAGACTGCAGGCATTTTCCTGTACTTATTCACTGCTAAGAATATATATAAAATGTTTAATTTGATTTAAAATTAATTCTACTAGTGCTTTTCGTTGATGGTTGCACTTCGATGTAGAATCCTTGGAATTGGTACCACTTCAAGGTGTGGTCGGATTAGGACCTCCGGACGGGGTAGTGCCCCTAAGTATTTGCCTGATCAAAGGGAAGAAGGGACGATCCATCTGATGCAAAACATCATTCTTCATCTGATGCATAAACTTTTCTTCCCCATGCAACACTCTGCAGGCTTCGGACGATTGCATGTTCATAAGAAAAACCATTAAAAACACTGCCACCAAAAATATTTTTAAAAACTTCATTTTGTTGGGCAAACAAAGACTATTTTGCATCTTATTTTCTGCGGAAGAAGGAATGAATGAATGAATGAAATAAAGCTAAAGGTTTTGTTGCGAAAACAAAGATATTGCTTCTTTTTTCTGTCTGTGAAAAACAGAAAGGATTGAAGGAAATAAGGAAGGAATGAATGAATGAATAGATGGGGAATATGGGGCTTCTTATATGCATCAATTAAGACCAACTTTCATATGACTTTGATTTTTCAATATAAATCTATTTGTTTCGTTGTTTTGACTATTAATTGATGATTATGTGCTAAAGACTTAGAATTGAATGGGTCGTCATATCCGCAAGGGTTTTGGTTTTAGGGTTTCACTATATTGTGGACCTGTAATAAATCAAAGCTAATTAATTATATAACAACACAATCCTTTCTTGATGCCCAAAAATATCACTTTTTTTTTTACTCTTAAGTTCCTGTAAGAAACATTTTACTCATAATTTAAGTTGAGCTATATAGCTTTTTTACTTAATTATTCTAGTATAGTAAAACCTCTATATAGTCATGATATTGAAACCAAATCAAATTTATAACTTTAAGCAGGTTATTACTTAATAGAGGTGCAGCTAAAACAATATTATTATTTTTTTACTCAGTTATCTTCAATTAAAATTGTATAGATACAAAGAACTATTAGTGGAGTACGTCGGTTTCCAAGATGTAAAATTTGAAAGAAAAAAAACCACTCAACCCTTAAAATCTATTGCATGTATTTACGTATGTAGTACTTTATTTAAGTTAAATGCCTATCTATAAACATGCTTGTGAAGCTAAAAACAGTATGGGCTTAAACAAGAAATTGTCCATATTGACGAGGTATTACTTACTCATAAGCTCAAAGGCGTGATATCAACTCTAAAAAATAAAATATTGTCTCAAATAATTATATAGAAATATTTTAGTTTATCTTAAACGTTTATTTGTTACATTGCATATTTTTGTACTTATGGACGATTATTATTATATGAAGGCGAGTTTTCTTAATACGGGACATATAAAAGTTATAACTTGTTACAATACATAACTAGCTCCAAGTTTGGGCCATAAATTTTTATGACTATAAAGAAGGTTATTCTTAAATAGAGCATTATTATAAAGATGTTTTACTATATATATTTTAAGCCTATTTTTTTATTAAGTTGTCCTGATTCAATTATTTTTTCTTTTAGTTTTATTGACAATTACTAATACTATAGAGGTATTTTGACCAACTCTTGTAGAGTTTTTGTTACTATTTTCTTGCATCGCAATTTTGAACTGAGATTGGAGTTTGGCATGCAAGTAAAAACGTGTATAAGGCCTTTGAAGTTTGAACGTTGACTATTTTAATTGAAGTTTTAGTACGCTGTTGGTATAGTATCGGTGTGTGCTAACCTTTTACACGACATGAATACTTTGACACACATACACACACAAAAATTGAATCATATTGTGATGACTCAAGTCTTATTTGACTTCAAATGTGTCCAGGCGTATTTATTTAACTAACTAAGACATCTCAAAACTAATTACCTCTCTAATTCACTAGCCAGACCTTAGTATTGTTGTTTCTTAGTTTTATAGGATAAAATTGAATAAGAATAAGTCATGATGTCTAGAAAGGTTGTCTAAAATAATCCCTGTGAAAATTGGACTTATAATCTTCTCTGGAAAAATGATAATCAGGTGCCACTAATCCAGAACGGCAATGAGCGAACAAAGTGTATTAAAATATTATTGGAGGAAAATGAAGAGAAGGTGTTGTTCTTAATTACACGTGCAAGAAAATTTTGGTAGAAATTAGTTGATTTGACCTCAAAGAAATGTTGAATCATTGAGGAATAGTTTGGATCAAATGATATCACTGCTGACAACTTTTTATCATGCATTAGTTTCAAAATCTTCAATAGTTTGTATCACCGTCAAGACCTTTCCTGGTAATATATATATATACATATATATAATGTATTGGAAATTGTTATTAGCACTTCAAAAATCTCATTTGATACTCTAAATTTTCTATAATTAGAAGAAAAAAATACACTTGTGAGGAGTGTAGAATAAGATTTTTGAAGTGCTAATAACAATTCTCAATGTATTAAGACGTATTATCTTGCGTTTTGTGTAGCAGATGCAACCTCACTAATCTGTGGGGTTCTACTGTTTTAGCAGTTGATTAATAACGTGATTTATTAAAAAAAAAATGAGATTTGTTCATCCATCTGCCCATTAGAATTCAGACACAACAAATAGAATGAATGCAAATATGGGTATAGCCAGGTTAGTCAGAGTTGCGTGCTCTCATCTGCACAAAGTTCGAATTACTTCCGTAATTTAATTGAATTTAGTATATACTATAAATAAATAAAAAAGAAATAGAATGAGTTCAGTTATAATATAGTCTCATGGGTTACAATTACAACCAGAACTTTTTAGCCAACTGACCAACAAAAATAATGAAAAAAATGGGTTATTATGCATGAATTCTACCGCAGGGATGCTAATCTAGTTAAACATTATTCACACTTTGAACTTTATAACATCTGTTGCTCCCGTTTCTTAGTCTCAATAGCGCCGGCCGGAACGTTAATTCTCGGTATTAGTAGGGTGAGGAATGGCATGGCCAAGAAGGCTTCATGCACTAAGTGGTAAAGCTATATTCATCTCATTCAGGTGCAAACACCCGAGCTGCGGCCGGGGATGTGGGTGCAGGGATTAGGGCCAGTTGGTGGCAGTCGACCCCTCTGGAGGGACCGAAACACAAGTATAACACCATGGTTGCTACTTGCTAGCCCATTGTTCTGCCTTCAATTGCCTCATTTCACCAACTTGCAGGCAAGAAAACAGAACAAGGACAACAAAAAGAGTTGAGAACAAAGTCCTCCTGTAACAGAACCTCATCTTTGATACCCATATGGAACTTTACGGTTCGTGTGGTAACGTTTTACAGACCCATTTTCGAGAAAATTGCTTTGTTATATATGGCTCTCTATAAATTTCAAATTGCTCATGCCTTCGCCTAGTACCTAAGCTATAATATTAATTCGGAGCTTGGGATTGACTTGGGCCAGTGGAACTTGAAGGTTCAACCATGGCATGGTGGTCCATATGTAATGAAACAATACACACTAACTTGAACGCCAAACAGTGTCACACAATGTAGTTTGGGTGTAAAGCAATTGTTCAAGTTTTAATAGTTGTCTACGAGAAAGACGTGATGAGCGTTATACTTAGACGGGGAATACACCCGACAAGGACATATGCAAGAATCCGCCTTGAATCACAAAGGCGTATAGAACCAAAGAATTAAAAAGTAAACTTTTTGGTGGTTGATCCAAAGCCCTGAGGAAAGCATAATGCAGAGAGTCAAATTTAAACAATATTTTTAACACAGTAGGTGAATAGGTGTCACACATGAACTCGCTTTAACGTGGCTGAAAACAAATTCCCTTTGTCTTGATTTTGATTGAATCGTTTGAGTCTTGACTTCCAGAGAAGCCATGACCAAAGGTTCCCAGCATCCCCAATAAAAAGGGGTACATATTTATCAGTCCAACTCAATTCCATTTAAAGTATGGAGTTTGAATAGCAAATCGTATGACAAGAAAAACTTGGGTGTAACCATGATATATCCACATCACTGTATAGCACGCATCACGTGACCAAGTCACGTGTAGGAATCTCCCCTTACTTGAGGGCTGTCTCTGGCCAATTCATCTAAACATGCATGCATAAACTGTAAAACAGTAAACTCAGAAGCCTTCCAAAGAAAGCGACGTAGAGAGATAAATCCATAACGACCATTCAGTGGATCTTCCGAACATGTTCAAAATTACAAAGAGCTCTTTTTCATATATTAACAAATAACTTCGTACAATAATATGAATTTGAAGTTATATATATAACAAATCATCACGAGATAAAGACACTGAATAGTTACTCGACAACAAGACAACTCACGTTTATATCACAGGTAATAACTTACGAAAAAACTTTACAGTCAGATCATTTTGAAACAGAGGCCACCAGCTTCTCCTTTAATTGCTCGGCATCACCGCCTTGAGTTTGAATCGAGAATGTATGAATAACCTTATCGTTGTCTGTTATGGAAACGTTAGACTCTTGAGCTACAATTTTATGTTCCCAAGTGTTCTGAAGACTTCAGAAACCGGGTGAGAATCCAATGGGCAGTTCATCCTCACAACTGCATCCTCGAGGCGTTCCTGAAAATCAATCTCTGGAACCGGTAACTGTTTTCCCTTGTTGTTTACCATCTGCTTTTCAGTTTTCATGACTCTGATCTTCATCTGGAGATCGGTGATATAGGTAATGGCATCACCAAGAAGAGAGGCTTTATCCATCTTCGATATGTTAGGAACAACAGCTCTTAGTGGATAGAGTCTCTGGTTAAGCTTCTTGCGCCTGTGCCGCTCTGCTTCCACATTATTTAATGGTTCTTCTCTCCCATTGGCAGGTTTTCTCCCTCTCTTTCTAGGTTTCCGCTCATCAATTTGTGTCGAGGACTCATCCTTGAGCAGCTCCGAACTTGAAACTCTTGTCTGGACATTGAAACCGTCAACCATTATTTGGTTTATTTGCGGAAACAGTTTTACTTCACTATCCTCACTTCGACATCCATTTGAAGTGCCTACTGATTGTAATTCAAACGATTCCAGCGACTGGATCTGATCAGCCACCTCCGTGTCTATGTGGAGACATGTTGTGCCGAGAAAATTCCTTGACCAGAAGATTTTGCTAATTAGAGCTTATCTTTGGGGCTTAATTTTTCTGATATTATTCTCCTCACCAAGGAGGGAAATATATATTGTACAAAATTGATTTACAATGAAAGAAACCCCAAATAATATATATCCTAATTACATCCTGATTACAAGGACCCAAATAGGTAACTAAGCTAATTACAAAGGTCAACTCTCCAACACTCCCTCTCAAGTTGGTGTATAAATGTTGTTCATGCCTAACTTGACGAGAGAGTTGTAGAACACTTGACTAGCAACAGCTTTAGTTAAGATGTCCGCTAATTGGTCCTCTGACTTTACGAACAGGAATTGAATAATATTCCCATCCAACTTCTCCTTAATGAAGTGTCTGTCAACTTCTACATGTTTCGTGCGATCATGCTGGATTGGATTGTGTGAGATATCAATGGCTGCTTTATTATCACAAAACAAATTCGAAGCCAACATTGAAGGACACCCGAGTTCTGCGAGTAACCTCCGAAGCCATAATAATTCACATACTCCTTTTTCCATACCCATGTATTCCGCCTCTGCACTTGATAAAGCAACCACTTTCTGTTTCTTACTCCGCCAAGTCACTAAATTTCCCCTACAAATGTAAAGTATCCAGATGTGGACCGTCGATCAGTAATATTCCCTGCCTAATCTGCATCGGTATAACCTTCTATCTGGCAATGACCATTCTAGGAAAACATGATGCCTCTACTCGGGGAGGAGTTTAGGTATCGTAGAATGCGTTCAACCGCACCCATATGAGTGTCACTCGGGGAATGCATAAATTGACTAACAACACTTACTGCATATGCAATATCAGGCCTGGTAGGAGATAAATAAATTAACCTCCCAACTAACCTTTGATAACGATCTCGGCTAGTGGGAACTTGATCAGGGTACACGGCAAGATGGTGATTTTGGATTATGGGGGTTTCAATCGGTTTACAATCAAGCATTCCGGTTTTGCCTAACAAGTCAAGAACATATTTTCTTTGAGATAGAAATATACCCTATTTAGATCGAGCTACTTTTATACCCAAGAAATATTTCAACCCAACAAGATCTTTCATCTCGAACTCAATTGCTAAGTAATCTTTCAGCCTTTAGATTTCCTCTTTATCATCACCCGTAACAATCATATCATCCACATAAATAATAAGTGTCGTCAATGTACCCATTCGACGTTTCAAGAAAAGTGTATGATCGGAATTGCTCTACCTAAACCCATACTTCCTCATAGCCGTCGGGAACCTACCAAACCATGCCTGAGGTGATTGTTTCAATCCATACAATGCCTTATTCAACTTACAAACCATTCCAGGTTGTGAAACCGATGCATAACCAGGTGGAATATCCATATACACTTCTTCTTTAAGATTACCATGTAAGAAAGCATTTTTCACATCAAATTGTTGTAATGGCCAATCCAAGTTAGCCGCCAACGAAAGTAACACTCTTACCGTATTAATCTTTGCTACCGGAGCAAATGTGTCTGTATAATTAACACCATACGTCAGAGTATATTCCTTGGCCACCAATCGTGCTTTGTATCGTTCAATCGACCCATCAGCTTTGTACTTAATGGTGTACACCCATCGACATCCCACTCTTTTCTTTCCTCGGGGTAGCGGAACTAAATCTCATGTTTGATTTTTCTGAAGTGCATCCATTTCTTCCTTCATTGCCTTGGTCCATCGATCATCAGATAGTGCCTCCTTCAATGAACTTGGTGTGCTATCATTGGATATTTGTTGTACTAAAGCTTTGCCAGGTTCTGATAATTTATGTGATGACACATGGTTGGCAATGGGATATTTAGAGTCTTTCATTGTTTCCGGTGAATATTGATTGGGTGGCTTTCCCCGGTTGTGCCTGAAAGGTAATTGATAATTCGGAACATCGGCAAGTGGCAGCACTGGTGCCATGGGTAAGGACAGCATTGCCATGCCTGCCGCTGGTTTTGTGGGCAGCGATATTGCTTCTGTTGGCTGGGATGGCAATGTAGCCACTGCAAGCTCAGCTAATAGTGGCAGCGGAAGATCAGTGCTAGCAACCATGGTCCAAACTTGTTCGTCATGCAGTGTCACCCCCTGAAGAGGAGGGTTGGAAGAAGCCGAAGAGTAATACATCTCAGACTCGGAAAAAGTAACATCCATGGTAGTATACATCCGACCTGAAGGAAAGTGGTAGCAACGGTACCCTTTCTGATGTAGTCCATACCCCATAAAAACGCAACGGATGGTACATGGGTCAAGTTTTGTCCGTTGACTTTTATGTAGATGAACAAAGGCAACACATTCAAAAACTCGCAGTGGGAGCACTAAAACGGACGGTAAAGGCACGAATGTAACAAGAACTTGCAAAGGTGTAAGAAAGTTCAATACTTTGGATGGCATACGGTTGACAAGGTAAGTGGCAGTCTAAAGAGCAATATCCCAAGAGGAGCAGGGAACATTCGCCCCAATCAATAGCGATCGAGCCGTTTCTAATAGATGGCGATTTTTGCACTCAGCCACCCCATTATGTTGAGGAGTCTGAAGACAAGTAGTCTCGTGAAGGATTCTGTGATTAGTTAAATAATGTGTAAAATCATTATTAACATATTCACCACCATTATCAAAATGCAAAATCCGGATTGTAGTAGAATACTGTGTCTGAACCATGGTGTGGAATGTCTTAAACGCTAGAAAACATCACTTTTATGCTTAAGAAGGTATAACCATGTCATCCGTCATCTGTGTGCAATCATCTATGAAAGTTACAAACCACCTAATACCAGATGAAGTAGTAATCGGAGATGGTCCCCAAACATCCGAATGAACAAGACCAAAAGGAATAACACTTTTATTATAATTCAACGGATAAGAAACACGGTGACTCTTGGCAAATACGCAAGTGTCACATTTAAAGTCTGAAATCGAACAACCAACAAATAAATCCGGAAACATATGCTGTAAATAACTAAAAGACAGATGACCCAAATGGTGATGCCATAACCATATCTGATGCTGCTTGTGATCAACGGCTCCTTAAGCGAGATTGACCCATCATGTACTGACATCATCCACAAAATAAAGATCCCCCTTCTTAGTACCACGACTAATTATCTCCTTCGTGAGAATATCCTGAATGAGACAAAACTTCGGATACAATAGTACACAACAGTTTAATTACTCAGTAGCTTGGCCAGGAGACATCAATTTATGAGTTAGTGAAGGTACAAGAAGTGTATGCGGCAAAGAGAGGCGTACAGTGCCAGCGCTAGTTACCGGTGAGGTGACACCATTAGCATTAGTAATATTTCGTCGAAGTGGAACAATATCACAAGCTAAATCAGTGGGGTCATAGGTCATATGGTATGTGGCACCGAAGTCAATGATCCAATCGGACTAAGTATCACCATTATTCATATTAAAAGCATAACCACAATTACCTGAAGACTCCGGAGGTATGTCGGAAGAACTTGAAACAGGAAGAGGATTCATGGTAGGGTCAGTTAGGGTAGTAGTGTTTAGGGTTGTAGTGTTTAGTATAAGGGTAGGATCGGCTAGGATGAGGTTGTTTTCACCATGGAGTGGTGGTAGGTTCTTCATGGGAGGGTCGAGTTTGCTTAAGGGAACGGGCAGAGCTGAAATCCTAGGATCTCTGCTCTGATACCATGCTAATTAGAGCTTATCTTTGGGGCTTAATTTTTCTGATATTATTCTCCTCACCATGGAGGGAAATATATATTGTACAAGATTGATTTACAAGGAAAGAAACACCAAATAATATCTATCCTAATTACATCCTGATTACAAGGACCCAAATAGGTAACTAAGCTAATTACAAAGGTTAACTCTCCAACAGATTTCGACCTTCCCCATAAAGATCATTTTTCGACACCTTCGTCTCTACATGAAGACATGTTTTGCTGAGAAAATTCCTTGACCAGAAGATTTTGACCTTCCCCGTAAAGACCATATTCCGACACCTCCGTCTCTACGTGAAGACATGTTGTGCCGAGAAAATTCCTTGACTAGTAGATTTCAACTTTTCCCGTAAAGATCACTTTTCAGCACCTTCGTACCTATGTAGAGACTTGTTGCGCCGAGAAAATTCTTGACGAGTAAATCCGAGTTGCTGAAGATGAACAACTTGGAGGAGTTCTTCTTGGATTGATACACTTTGCAAAACGATGCAGTGTTCTTTTCCAAAGTTGACAGCGGTCCTTTTCTCAGGAAAACAGCGGCACCATTTTGGTGCACTTTGCGCGTAAGCGCAGCCGTCTTATCCAACTCCAACAACATTTTTTATGGTTAGCATCCGTCAGCTTTTTTTCTTCTTCTATTTGATCAGAGAGAGAACTTTTCCAATGACTAGATTTGATCAGCCACCTCCCTTTGATGGAAAACATAATTAAATTGGAGGTAAATTACACTTTACCACCTTAGGTTTGAGGTCTATTACAACCTCATACAACATCTTCAAAACATTTTACTTTCATACCTCAAGTACAATTTTATTTCAATATAATACATTTGCTACATTTTCCATCCATTGATCCGTTAAAAGCTGACGTAGCTGCCAAACTTGTGCCACATGACAAAAAATAATAATTTTTTATACATTTAAAATATAATAATATTTCTCCACACCATATCCCAAGCAACCCAATACGCACTCTTAACAGTGAAAATACCCCGATCATTATAGTGCTAGATTAGTTTATCAGGTGGAAATCGATAACTAAGGGGCAGAACATGAATATGCTCCCTGTCTTCCTCCTCAAAGAGCTCATTCAACAAAGTGTCATTCCATGCCTTCCTGTCCACATCAATGAGGCCACAAACCCTTATCTCATTATGAGAGGAAGGCGGCAACGTTATGGGATGAAAGGTTGAAGGTTGAGGCACCCACTTATCCTTCCAAACCCACACTGAAGCTCCATCCCCAATCAACCATCTCGAACCCTTCTCCAACACCACTCTAGCTTTAAGTATACTAGACCAAC